TCCGGAGACCATCTCACCCCACGCTCGGGCCTCCTCTTGAGGCTCCTCTGCTTCCTCAGAAAACCTCAGCGGTTTTTTTACTTGTTCCTTTCATGATACAACCATGTGGCTGTGGGTCATCAAAACCGGGGGCCAGTGATTCACCACAGAACATGAATAGAATGCATAGACGACCAGGGAGGATGTTTGTAGTGCCCTCCGGTCACTTGGATAGTGATCAGGACCTCTGTCATCAGGACGGACTCTCACAATTACTTAAATCCAAACTAACACCCAGACACGACTAATGGGACTGCCATATATGCTGATCAGTTGGGGTGGTTGAAAGGGGGTCAATGGGGCAGCATATATGGCAGTCCCATGGAGTCCCTGGGACATTTAGATACTCTAGCAACTTATAGACTCTATGACACAGAGCCAAATGTCCATCCCGTCCATCGGGCGATTTGACACATCATTAACCGAGTCTGTATCAAAGTGCAGGATTCTCTCTGTACTCAAGACGGTGCTTTGCAGCTTATCTCAAGATTATTGGCAGAGCACTCCGTGGAACCCCAAACAGGCAGCTGGCACGTTCGGCCACGTTTAGAACTTTTGCACACACCTTAGCAGGCGGGTCTTTAACGCCCAGCGCCAAAAAAGGCTATAGGTGTTGAACTTGTCCGAATTTTTTCCCACAGATTCGTTGATTTCCAAGACAGCCCGTCAAAAAGGCGCTCCACATCCCCGTGCTGGGGGGAACCTGTGAGGGCGCACAATAGAGCCTATTTTAGGTCTATTTCAAATTAAGCTGACACCATGTCGTCACCTCCTCCCCCCAATGAATTGAAAAGGATTTCGTCTCAAACAAACGCCAGGATTTGTTGTTCCCTTGTCTTTCCCTCCATCGAATTCCAAAGATTCTCAACCCAAGGAGCTCATCTTCCGCCTCTTCTGGCTCATCTTCCGCCTTGAATGGTTTCAAGAAGGCATGGCTGTGAGCTCCCCAGCATGGGTTCGGTTGACATCCACCATGGAGGAATCAGGAATCGGTTCAATTCGCTTCATGTTCAGTCAACCAAGGTGTCCAGGGTTAGGACCCACTATGATCGAGTAAGTGGTCGAAGTGATGAGATCTGCACACCTCGAAATCCATGAGTTGTCCAACAGCAGTCCCAACATGTCCCAATTTCCACTGGTTCAACGAACTCCCGTAAAATGATGTTGTTTAAACGAATCCAAGGCCATTCAAATGGTTGCTGCAGCGGCTGACATCTTGTCGCACTTGTGTATTGAGATGTTGGCAGTTCTCAAGCGTCTCATGCAATGTGGTCCTGTCCAACAAATGATGAATTGATTGGGAGGACTACCAATTATCCGCTGCAGGCGATTCAGCAGCTTCAGCGTAGATTCGAGCAAATGTGAGACTTTGTTTAAAATGAAATCCCAAACATGATCCAAACCTCTGAGGTTGGGCGTGGTTGGATTTATGAATGAACTTTGGAGAAAGTTGAGGGAATCCCCCTCTGAAAAGGGACTTCCAAAGGGACTTCATGAGACTTCCATGGGACGAATCACGCGACGAATTATTCAGAAGCCTCTGACGTGGAAGGGTCACACACTCATGTGGAGGGGTCTGAAGTCTCAAATCGGAATCTCGAAGGAGCAGGGGCTGTGAACGGAGCTTCTAGGTGGTACTGGTACTGTATATTGGTAAGCTTGACTTGGAAAACCAGCTTTATGATGCTTTATGCCATCTGAAATGGTTCTCCACACCAAATCAGTCAGCATATGTCAGCATGAACACCCCTCAACTGGCTCCAATTGAGAGGACCCCAGCGAGGTCCCACACGCAAAAAGACCTGCTCCGACCTCGTCCCTGTCCAATGGCGTCTGCCTACCTCACCTGACCCGTCTGCCTTGCCTGCCTTTGCTCTGACCGGTGACGTCTGACCGCGCCTCATCCACCACGGACTTCTCACTGAACTGTCTCCCAAACCGTGAGATGATCACCGAGTCCTCGGACAACTGGTCTCGTCGTCCGTCCGGGGCTGGTGGGTTCGGACGGTCGGAAACGCCATTGGCCCGGTGGTCCATCGTTGGGTACTTGTTTTCATGGTGATCTGGTGCCCGGAACGTGAAACACGGGTCTTTCATCACGGAACGTTTTCTGGACCGGTCTTGAGACAGAGTCATGGGTGCTCCTGAACAGGTTTTTTAGGTGCCAAGGATGGGGCGTAAATCCATTGGATCTTGTGAGGAGCGGCCTGTGGGTGCAGTTGGAAGGAAAGGTTCCTTTCTCTGTAGGATGATGATGGCCAACTGTCCCGTGGTGAACGCTTAGACGCTTGGAAATGCTATAAAAACACACACACATCCCCATGTAGACATCAAACACGGACAAATACCAGGATACTGCTGATACTGATACCAGGATACAGCAGCAAACAAACCTCGAGAAGCGATGGCCTCAAAGAGGTCTTCAACCAGAACTAGTAATTAACATATGCATGTCATATAATTATTGTATTTAACAAAATTTACTAATATGCTTAATACCATGTCATCTATTAATGACATCATCTTTAGAATCTCCATGTCCTTTAAAGGCACTCGGTCATCTCTCCCCACCGGACCCACCGGCGAACCGAGTGGCCGAGTTGTAGGTCGGCGGCAAGCCTTTGGGCGTCAGATCCTCGACGACCTCCATCGACGGTGATCGGTCCGACCGATGTCGGTGAGGAGTTGACCACCCGCAGAAGACCCGCGTCGACAACCCAAACATCGGGGGCGTCGTTTTGGCGTCGCGGTGATTTGGTGTCTTTTTGGGTCGTTTTGCGGGGTGTTGGTCGGTCAAGCGGATGATCTGGGGGAGTAAGATGATAAGTGATAAGAGATGATGAGTAAGATTGGTGGTGATTGTCTCACCTACTTTGTAGATTCCCAGACCAAAGAAGCAACATTACACACAGCATTGGTGGAAACTTGGGGCGGTGAAGACTTCACCACCTTTTGAAACCGAACTTGTTGAGACGATTTGCCCCATTCTGTCTCTGAAAGCATTCCCCACCTCTCAAGCAACGCGATTCAGGGCACACGCAGCCAGTCGCCGATACGTCACACCAACCGATTTGCGAACATTCTTTGCGGCCAGCTGGTCTTATAATTCTTCCCCAAAGAACCGGAAGTCCTCCTTGGATGCCCCACCCTTCCGGCCAACGACCTTGTTTCCCACTCGTTGAAGGGGTCAAAGAACAGATCGAATTCCAGGCACAGAGTCTGCTTCGAAACCTCATGTGTTCTAAGAACATCTAAGAACTTCCACTTGCTCATTGGTCCTTTATATAGAACCCACCAAGCCCCGAAACATAAGTCACACAAGTCACACATCAAAACACCACCTAAATCAGCAAATTCTTCTTGAAGTCTTCATCATTCACCCACCCATCTCCCTGCTCGCGTCTTCGCCCGCCTCGATGAAGGTCTTTTTCACCACCACTTTTTCACCACCTCACACCGTCGAAGCCCTCGATCGGAATCCTCCGGTGTTCTCTCACGAGTGGCACTACGTATACTGTCTTGACCAAAAGGCAGGTCAAGAGGCCTTAGTAGGATACTAAGTCACTACATGTCACTACGTCCTCCAAGTTGATCAAACGTGTTGGATGATGTATCCTCCAAGGCTTTTCGACCCCTGAAGGAGGGCGGAATCTCCCTCAAGAATGCGGCGCGACGCGGAGTAGCTGCGTAGCTCCGTAGCTCTACCGCGACGAGTAGCTACCGCGGCGTTCGGTCGGGAGAGAGTGCGGCAACGCCTGGGTTTTGTGTCCGAATTCCTGGACCCAACAATTTAGACGTATTCCTAGGGATGAACAGAGCGTGTTAGACTATAAGAAAGAAAACGGTCACAATCCTATGCACATTGAACCAAAACCTTTTCACACAGACTCGACAAATATAGACTGAGATATACTTAAAACGAGTTCAAACAAGAATGTCAGAGATCCGGATGTGTGTGTTCTCTGCTGTGGGACAGGCAAACCAGATCGCACTCTCCCGGATCTCCAAAGACTCGACCGTCACCTCGCTCGCCTGCATCCTCTGCGAAGGGCAGCCGTAACATCGCGAACGGCCGGTGCCCCGAAGCCGCGGCTGTCGCGCGACCGGTTTCCGGGGCTTTTTGTGGAGCTGGGAGCAGCGGAGCGCGCGGAGCGAAGATGGACCGGAGACACAAGGGTCAAAGGTCGGGGTTCGCAACGTGGGAAAACAAACGTCCCGGAGCTCAGTGAAACGATGTGAAACTCCAGGAATACTGCGGATCGATAGTCCGAGCTCTTTAAACATGATTTGGATGTGGCTTGAAACCAAACGCAGCAAATTGGCACAAGGCGCAGCCTCACATCATGAGGAGTTGCAGCAACAATTTGTTGTGGCCTATTATTTTCACTCCAAAGGCTATAGGATTTCTGGCAGCCAGGTCAATTCTGGACAACATAATAAACAGATTTGACCAATTTGTGGGTCAGCAAACCCTACAAACTCCTGGCGACTCGTGGCCAACGACGGTTCGAGGTAGCTGGCCTATGCCCGGGACCATCTGGGTGTCCAGGCTCCACTACCCTACACCCTACACCACTTACACGATACTCAGATGCTTGTGGGCATTTCTTGGATGCTCCTGGTGGTTCTTGATTATACAAACATTACAAGCCGTTCTTTGGGCATCTTCGTTCAGCTTCTGCTTCTTCCACCTAGCGTTCTGCTCGGTCCTGTACTCGTTTCTCAGCTTACAAAGCCGAACCCAAGTCAAAAAAGCACCAAGTCTTCACATGAAACATGTCTCAGCACTTGACAGTTGCTATACCAGCCCATGCCTAATGCACATGCCCTAGGGCCATCTAGAGCCTCAAATGAGTCTCGCCTCCAAAAGTAACTATTATACTCCTCCTCCCCAAACGAAAGTGCCACCCCCGCTCGGTTTCTGTCGGACGACTGACGGCGAGGCTCGAGAAACTGGAGGCCTCCGGAAGCTTCAGCCGGCGGCGCAGCGCGGGGCTCTCGAGCGTCTGAACACGGCCGATGCCCAGGGAGGAGGTGCCCAAGTAGCAGCTCCTGACCTGAAAAACCGCTGTGAGACCACTTGGAGGCGTTGCAAGAATGGTACTACTTGCGACATCTCTGGAAAAGAAAAGGGATGGGGGATGACACCTGGACAGCTTCTGCTCTTAACAAGTACCTTTTCACTTAGCATCGATAGGCCCCAAGCATCCCAAGCCTTGCGGACCAACGGAGCGCCCGAGCCCTTGGGTCAACACCGAGCCCTCTAAGCTGCCGGCAGCTCCATCGTCGGCCGTTTCTGAGGCGCTGAAGGTGGTGTGAGCTGGTTCGTGCTTTTGACTGATCATGTGAACTCCAGGATAGTCATAGATAATCTGGGTGATCTGAAAAAATAAGCAAAACACTCTGATTCGAGGCAAACACTGGCACAACCTGGGATATCAAATGACGTCCGACTCACTCGACTCACTTAACCTTTTTCAGGGGGAGAGTTTGACCAAGCCATGCTACTGGATCCGTGGAGTGGCGTGGCTCCACAAGACGGCCCAAAAGACGATCCTCTTAGGCCCCACCACAAGGACCAGACCCATCCCAGACCCATCCCAACACCTTGAACATCTCACCTTCGTGTGTTCTTCCTCTTTCTGTGTCTTATTTGTGTGTCCGCAAACGGCTGGATCACCCTATAGGCTACCGCTAAATAGGCATTTTTTTGGGGGGGTGGAAGGTACAACATATTCCTCCTATGGAGGGTTCGATTAACGGTCGATGTTTGCTTTGGAGGGTGCAAGGATTCTTAGGGTGGAGCAACTTGAACGAAAGGACAGCTTCACCACTTTCATTTGATGAAGCATATCTTTACAATTGAGGATAATTATTCGATTCAGTGAACGACTGGGATGCACCGCATTGTATCTGGTTAACTTGTTGACTGACAACCCTGTATGTATAGAAACTGTCTCAAAGCTCTCCTTGTTTGGCAAAATGATAGGAACAGCATGGAACAGCAACCGCTTTTCAACGAAGTCTATGACCTATCCGTATTCTCAAGCAGTGTACAGGTCACCAAACCCTGCCTCCCTCTGAAAATCGCCCCCACCCCAAGCACACCTATACAGGAGATGAATTGCTCCAACACCTCGCTTTTCGCACTGGAACTCGGAACTGAGCGGTCACTGCCTAACTGATGTGTTCGAAGAAGTTGCGTTCCTAAGCGGTCTCCTTCCGATCGATCCAAAAAGCTTCCCCATTCTCATTCCCTCGCAGCTCTCCAAAACATCCGACGGTGACCGGCGGAACGTTCCTGGTTGGACCCGAAACCCATGTGGAACTGAGTGGACCCCCCAAGAAATCGCAGCTCCGATGCCGTCTCACTGAAATGCTGCAACAGAATAAGGACATGATCCATGGGATTTTTATGGGCATGTCTAAGGGGAAATCCTGAATCAGTGGAATTGAGTTTCTTGTTGTTTTGCCAAATGTTCTCCGTTCAACTGGAATCACGCCCGGATGTCTTCAAACACATGGTTTTGCCGGATGTCTTCCTTCAAACATCTAAGCGTGCCTGAGAGGGGATGATGTAGCCAATATTAGAGGCCTCCATGCGCTTGCGGGAGAGGCAAAAAGTGGAGGCGGCCGAAGTTCCAACATCCTATGTATATATATATATATATTTATACAGTATGCGTACAACCCAGTCTATTGTAGTCTTCTTCTTTTAGACTCGATGAACATACATGGAACAATGGTACTTGTATAGTGACGACCCAAAACGACACATAATTGCCTCTCAACATCGCTAAATAGGTTGGCTTTGGTTTTGTCTTCGACGGGTTGGCCTACGAAGGTCGAGGTCGTTCGCTACATGGTGGACTGGTTGGGCTCCAGGTTGAACAACCCATCCGAATATGGGTAACAAGCGCCCTGTGCTGTTTGGGTGTTCTGGTTGTACAAAACACCTAACCCCCCTGCTGCTATTCTCTCATTCCTGGCGATTCCCAGTGCTCCAAATCGATCCGTCACATTTCTTGAATTCGATCCGCTGGTCAATCATGAAGTTACGCTCCCCTTTAACAGGTTGTCAATTGGAAGAGAGTCTGCGCTCAGCTCGTCACACAGTCATGCTTTGGCCGCTGGAGTGAGTTTCATCCCCAGATCGCGATGAATCGCGACGAAGCGGGTACAAATCTATACACTCCCGAGTCAACTCACGTGGACCCTAACTGTCTGGCCCCCTGGGTCCGAGTGTAGGCTCCTCTACCAACCAACGTGTACTCAGGGTCCATGGGATCGTCTTCCAGAGTATAGTTTCCATTGAAATGGAACTGGGATCATTCACAATTCTGTAACCAGCGCGTTTGGCAAAAGCGTCTGTGTTCCAGTCTTTACTGCAAATCTGTCTTGCCATCCTGGGCTTGACACATATATACACAAAACTTAAACTTAAACCTCTCCGTTCACTTCCCCCAAAAAAAGAACAAACGCCTCAGCCTAACACCCCCCCAAACACATCACTCCTCTTTTCGGAAAAGGTCTGCTTTCTTTGTCTTCCCCTGGACCCCGCACCCGTTGTCCTTTTAAAAAAGGTCGACCGGGTCCGTTCGCTTCTTGGCCACGACCAAGGCCCCAGGCGTTCTTCAGAATGCTCGAGGCCATGCCCACGACCAAGCCATGAGCACCCAAGACGGGGCCTCCCGAGTTGCCTGATGGACGAGGCGCGAGGCGCTCATGGGGAGCGTAACTTGGCCTGTTGCGAACTGGGGGGTGGAGGGTGGAACAGGGGGCGATGGTGAAGTTTCAGGGGAGCTCGTCTGTGTTCTTTGCAGGATGGAGACTCAAGGTGAAGCTGGGAGTGGTCCTGGTTAGTGCTGGCAGTAAAACTCACTCAGTCAATCATCAAAGAGAAATGGAGCTTTGATGGATTTGATTTGGACAGGACAGCCAGAAAGCCGCCGGGCTGGATCTGTGGGATCTGCCCACGATTCGGTCAATTCTGACATAGCTCGACTTTGGAATCACACAACAATGTGTTCCCTATATAGAGCTTAAAAGTATAACATATTTACGACCTGCGCACAACATTTAAAAGGTATACACCAAACAAAACGTAAAACAGTGAAATACCAGATATTGAAACCCGCAATTTGGATACTCTTGACCAGTTCGTGGATTTGCTTTCCACACGCGAAAAATACATCCACTCCAGCTTCGTCTTGCCTTTAACCCCCCAAAAAAGAAGACTCACGCCGACGCTTCGTTTCGCGCGGCGATCGGATGGCGCGCTGCCTGGGTTGATGGCGGCATCGATTTGGATGCGCATCAAACCATCGATATTCACATCGATGCCTAGACGACGTGTCGCCCCGATGCGTGGCGTGGAGTGTCAAAGCTCCAGTGAGCAAGTGAACATGTCTATAGGCAATTGGATTGATATTGTTCAGTGCTGGAAAAAATGAAGAGTCTCATTTTTGTTTTCTGAGATCAACCAAAAGGGCTCCCAACAAATTGGTTCCCCCGTCAACTTGTCTGAGTGATGAAGTAAAACCTCTAGACTCTATACAGTACGTATGTGCCTATTGCTATCCCGCAGTCTAGCAGTGTGCCCTAATGTTCCTTCGTTTGCAGCAAATTCTCTGCAATTCATATCCACCATAACCTTTGTCGGAGCTTAATCCCAAGGACGAGGCGCCTGTGCTGCCGTGCACATTCTCTAAGTCCACACCCTGCCCTCCTCCCTCGACCCGCCCGAGCACGTCCGGGCCGCCCCGGCGCGAGACCACGCCACGCGTCACGGAGATGTTCTCCCCGCCCACCGGGAAACCAATGCACCTCGACACCGCGCGGCCGGGCAGGGCTATTCAAAGAAGAACAAAAACACATGAGGGACGTCTATAGAACAACTGCATGCATCTAGGCGGTTTAACATGGTTTAACCATGCACCGATAGGCCATTGGATTTCACACCGCGCCCACGCGGCGCCGTGAAACAGCTTGTTTTGGCGTGCCAAACGCGTGGAAGAATGATGAGATGCATTGGGGCATTGGAGCAGGGATAGCGCGAAAGGCTGGAGGCCCGGCCCAAACCCGGCGCGGAGAGGCCAAGAAATGCTCAATCAAATGGCTGTGGGTTAAAGCCCGAAGCCATAATTCCCAGGTTGACCTCCCTAGTCGACTATTCTGTGCATTTATTTATCGGTCAACCAGGGATCCCTCGGTGGGTTTTGACCCACAGCCACACGTGGCTCTGGAGCCGCTGTTGACATTTCACAGCTCCCTCCATGTGTTTCGGTTGCTCACAGTCCTTACAACCTTGGAGGCAGGTCCTTGGTTGCAGGTGGTTGCTGGTTGCTGCTTGGGCATCTTCACTGACAGCACCTGCTAAAAAATCACAGTTTTTAGGGATCCAAGTACCGAACCTCAGGTACGGTGATGTGTTCGGCGCTGTTATGTAGGTGCCAGGAGGGTCCAGTCGTGCCTTACCTGAGGTTCGGGACCGACTGGATCCCTAGGGAGTATACCTTCGATGCTGAACGACGATTCCCTGAAGTTCACACCGGGGCCCTATGTATTTCTGGCTCTCGTCCAGGCGGACGAGCCAGCCTTATCGAGATCGAAGCCCCTGGGGCCGGAGCTCGAAATAGGAAGCTGGGGAACTGCGTCTTTAAAGATGAACACCTGAGACGAACACCGATCTTATAGCTGAAATCGAGCAAGATTACGACAACCTTGGGGGTATACTCATTGCAAATTCCTGCAGGTGGCCTATGCGCCAGCAGAAGACCACAAGCTCTATACCCTCATAGAGGCACTCATAGAGGCTCTACATACCTTAATAGAAGCATACCCTGGTGCAATGGCACTGCAGTGGTGCAGTCCACTGCCAAAATGGAGAAGCAAGACCTGGACCTTATCCATGAAACCTGTGATCCAAGTTCCCTCCTTCACAATCACAAGCTCTGATGACCAAGTGGTATGGAGTGGTGTAGGTCAGCAGGTTTCACCCTTATTTGAAAGCTATAATGCATATACAGTATACAGTATACCTATGCCGCAAAATTCCTCCAACACTCAGTGCCTGCGCCACTCCATACCACTTCTTATCACTCCATACCAGTTCTTCCAGCTCTCGTTCTTCTCTCCTTCGGCCCAAACACGCACGCACGAACAGAGTCAGAGCTGCTAGTGACTTCGTGCGTGCGAACAGAGCTCCCATCCGCGGTTATCCTAGGGGCCGTGCGTGACGTTGTCGTCCAGCTTCGGGATGTCACGGGAGAGGTTCAGGGACTCCTCCGCGGAACCGACTCGGCGTGGTGGAACCCGGGGAACCCGGGGTGGAACTGGCTTTGAGAACGGTTCTTTTGTACGGGATTTACCTGCTATAGAGGTGTGTTGAGGGCTAGGGGTACAGAACCAAACTCCCGAATGGGCGGTTTTGGTGCAAGTGAGTGAGTGCAGTTTAAACTCTAATCCAAAGGCTTTCTACCACCCCCAGATTGGCAATAACCAAATGATGAACCACCAGCTTGAAGTTGCAAAGTCACTCAGCATAGGCCAACTCGCTAGGACAGCCTGAGTCCTAGCGAGTTTGCCTAGGCGGTGTTGCTGCCAACTAAATAGGGTTTGTTCGCGACCTCACCTACCCTTAATCGCCCTGAATACATCAAAAGAACTCAGCTACGGCTTCACAATCCAAAACCATCTAAGTACCACACACATTCACAATCCAGCAATTTGCTTTGTTGTTCAACCCCCCAATTCTCGCAGAAACCATCTTCCCAACAAATCACACCCACCCCTCAATTTTGCCAGACATTCAAGCCCTTTGGATCCACCTTCTGAGAAGGTGGCTTGGAAGGCCCAGTCGTGCCTTCTGGGAAGGTGGCAGTGCATCTCAAGGGAAGGACGGAGCGTCACCCAACTTCTGCGTTTCAAGGTCGCGCGCGCGCGCGACGCTGTTAGGCGTGGTGACCGTTTCTCGTCTCCCTCGGACGGTGACCGTTCGCCTTGTTCTTCCAGAAGGCCTCGTCCACCTGCAGCACCGCCAGATCACCTGGTCTCGGTTGGGAAGGAGCAGCTGAGCAGCATTGAGTAGCTCGGGTCCTGGGAGAAACATGAGAAACTGCTGAGAATGTGAAGGGGGCATTCGGGGAACAAAGCATGATGAAGCTAGGAGAGATGAGTGATGAGGAAATTGAGGGGATTGACCTCGCTTCAAGTTGAATCACAATATTGGAGGTCTATAATAGTCTACGTATGTCTATAGTATTGTCGCCCATCTTCACCAATTCAGGCCTTTGGAGAGAATGGTATCCATCCCGGTGCTTGCCAGGGACCCCCTTCGGCGTTATAACAGGCACGATTCTACAATGATTCTAGCCTAGCCTTGTTTGGCTGCTGGTCCTGCTCTACATGAATTCTAGCCGACTCCTGGTCCTGCTTAGCAGGTGCCCTTTTTCTTCGCCTCCCACCTCTGGGCGCAGGTTGCGAAGGAAAAAAAACGGGAATGTTGCTGTTGTTGTTGTTGTTGCTGTTGTTGTTGTTGCTGTTGTTGTTGTTGTTGCTGTTGTTGTTGTTGTTACCTTGTTCTCGGGCTCGGTTTGGGATGGGCCGGTTTCGGTTGTGTGGTCGTCACGCTTTAGGTTTGTGGATAAGTCACCCTTTAGGCACTTATATAACAGGCACGGGGTGAGCTTCTTGAACAAATTGGTTGAGCGAGCTGAACCCATGAGAAATCCATCAAAATACGTATGCAGATCTATGCAGTAGCTTCCTCACAAAAGAAGTTCCCCTTGCGTCGTAGAAAAACAACTGACCATCTCGACCCGCACAGCTTCAAGAGGAACCAGCGGAACCAGCCACATCTGCCAGGCCACAAGGTAAGCCCACAGCAACCACCCTGACAGGGAGGCCGACTGCGCGACCCGGCGCGACCGAAGCTGCAACTCCCGGACTTGTTCAAGAATCCACATGGATCTATGGAGCAGAACTCCACTTTGCCATGTTGCAATGCCCATGTTCTAATTACTTAATTAAGTTGATGTTGTTTCCACCTTGGATTTGAGGTGGGGTGTCATTTCAATTATCTCCCAAATCAGATCAAAATAGATCAAAATCTTGTGATCCACCTTCTTTCCTATATAGGTCCTATATAGGTACACCACCACGCGGCCAATTGAACCCCTCCCCCCGCAACCGAGAGCTCGCTCCATGCTCGGTCCACGCCTGGCGTTGTACTTCACCGGATTTCCCGTGGTGGGCCGCACGAGCACCGAGACCGCACGGTGCACCACGTGCGCGTTGGTGACCACCCACCTGGTCGGGTGTGGAGCCGGGCGTCTCGCGTTGGATCAAGGACGAGACGCCGGCGTGGGTCGGCCCGGTTGGGAGGATCTCCACATGTCAGAAAGCACGTGGTTTTCTACGGTGGGTTCGATGGTGATCGCAAAAAGAGTGTTTCTCGCATTCTTGCAAGACTTCTTTTAGTCCTTCCAGCCAAGTCTGCAATTATATAATTGATTATAATTGGCAGTGCCAGTCGGTCAAACAAGCACAACGAGTATCAATATTATGGTTCTGCTATGTTCTGCTGCAACCGACAGTTGATACAAACATCTATACAAACAGTCAACTGACGGAGTGGTGATTCGGTTATATACTCTTCTCTTGCCCCACTGCCCGCCCATGCCATGCGCCGCTCGCATGGCGGAGAGACGGGGTACCCCCGACCCGCCTATTCTCCAGCAAAAAGCCGGTTCCGGTGGAGGATTGCTGGCCTCGATCGATGCGACAGGGGGAGGATCAGAACCCTCCGAAAACCGGAGAAGGGTCCTAGCCGGTGGGTGTTCTTGACCAAATGACATGAAAAGTCACATAGACCCGTCTTGGCGCCCCTGGAAGATGGTTTTCCTCTACCAATTCAGTGGTTTTCAGGGTCCATGGGATCGTCTTCCAGCAGATTAAGTCAGAATGGATGCACAGGTGGAATGAATGGGCACTACTACCATCCATAAGATTACGGATTTAGGGACCGCTGCACTAGGATCATGTTGATGGTGCAACTTTGCTTTGCGGCAAAAACTATGCATCCAAACCAGATCGCCAAGGGCCCATCACTGCTCGCCCAGCATCGACCTTAGGTGGATTTGGGTGATGTTTCCTTCCTTTTGCATCCAAATCCACCCAGACCGACGATGACGGTCCTCCCCTCAACGGACCTCCCCTCCCCTAGCTCCCCTCCCCGTCGGAGCTGGTGCGAACACAGGAGCTGTGCTTCCGCCACGGGTCCGCGAAATTGCACGGCGCCTGTGTTCGCAGTGCTGGGCGGTGGAGTCCGCGAGGTTGATACGGCTCTTGACATCTACTGTGTAAAGATCGGAAGATGAGGGCGAGGATCACGCTCATTGAGTGGATGAGCCCAGTCGTGTTCGCTCGGCATCGTCATTGATTCAAATGGCCCGAGTGTTCGTTGGGTGGGGAAACCGGTTGAAAAGTTAAGACCGTTGATGAACGCCCGGTAGCAAACGAAACACGACCCATACTAAGAGAGCCCCCTGTACATTTAAAGGGTCAATGGCACAACATCCATGTCAAACCCACACATGGACATACTCGGCATACCAGTGTTGTGGGCATTCATCCATGTCATCTATGTCTCTACCGCACCTTCCACAGGCCTTCAACAAGAATGCTAAATATTCCAGAGATGGTTCATCTAGCGGAATGCACATATTCAATGCTCATTGCGGTGTTCGCCGCTGCTCACAAGATCATTATCAGCAAAATCCTGAGCATGGAAGATTACCCATGTTGTACAAGGTGGGATGTCTTCTTCAATCCTTGCCATGGATAACCCTACCCACATGCATCATCCCCTTTGCATCTCCTGCCCGGCACCTTTCTCACGAAAAGCTTGCAAACAGACCCGGTGCCAGCTGAAACTCCACGAGTGTCCACGCTGGTGCGCTTTGGACCTCGCAGTCGATCTGGGAATCCGATCAACTAAGCTCTGCAGGGAGCACGTGTCAGGAGTGTGACCCAATGTGGGTGTGTAGAGAAGAATTGGGAGACCCCTTGGTGCAATGGGAGGTCTCACTAGTTTTTTGTACGCCCATGTATTCTCTCAAAGAAAGGATCTGTTCAAACAAGCACTTGCTGAATAAAACCCTCGCAAAGAGGGTGTTCTCACGAATATGTGCGAGGACATTGGTTCTCCGCAAATCACCAGGCCAAAAATGGTTCGCCACGAACTCTGAAGTTGGAGTGGGTTCGTGGTGCCAGTCATCCAGTCAGGTCCATAAAAGCAATCCCCTTCAAACAATCAAACAAAACAAACAACAAACTATTCACGCCTGTTTCATGCACCCCACTTCGGGTTTGTCTTACTCCAAATGTCTCACTGTAGTCGATGAAGCCAAGCAACCAGCACGAGGACGCTTCGGCCGTGGCTCGCCACGCGATTGTCCACCTGCAGCGAACTGCGGAGCCCCGTTCATCCCCGTTCGATGTCTTCGTGGGCGTGACGAATACCTTGCTGGATGAAAAGGACCTCGTGCCGAAGATTGAACAATTACTCCAACCGAACCTACCCCACTAGGCCCCACTCTCAACCTGCCTCTGGGCTTTGGGCTCTATGGGAGTCGTCAACCAGTCGAAGTGCGGACCATTCGTTGAAGGAGCATGGAGGGAGGTCTCTTGCCTCAACGTCGCTCCTCTGTGTTGGTCGATTGCAGTCTTGTCAAAAAAAGGAACATGTTGAAGAGCCACAGCCCGAAAGTTCTGCTTAAAAGTCCCCCCACCAAAAACTTGTCTCTCTTCTCAGTGGACGGTTTCGACCGTTGGAAGTGTGCATTCCTGTTCCTGCTCTGACACGCCAAGGAACAAAACGGACTTGCACCATCCTAAGTCCTGGACAAAACGAACCGAACCTGGCAGCTGAGAACCGTCCGGCCGGCATGTCACCTAAAAATGGATCTCACCCGAATTCGGGACATCGCAGGTATAGACTGACCAGATAGACCAGATAGACAGACTGGTCATTTAGACGGTCTTCACCAAACCCGAGCCCTGCTGCGAGCGCTCAGCGTCGCCTTCCGAGCGCTCAGCGTCGCTCTCCGACATGGGGACGGTGGCTTTTTGGTCCAAGGACTCAGGTCTATGAGGTCTTAGGTTGGAATCCTATAAGGTCTATCAGGTCTTATAGGTCTATCAGGTCTATCAGGTCTTAGCTTGGAGTCCTTGGGCTTGCCATGAGCCCAGGGGCCTTTTTTTGAGGTGGCACGATGGCGCTCGATTCGCCGAGAGGAGCCGAGCCGGATGGCTCCCCGCTGCTTGGAGGTTCGGGACCTTCAGTGCGGATCGTGGGGCAACCTGATAGCCAAGACGGGCCAACTCATGCAACCTCCCCAAACGCCCTTGCGCATAGCGACTGGGAAACTGTGGGAGTCTGACTGGGACATGAAAAATGACAAATCACCAAGGCAGATCCGAAGCAAAGAGGTGTGGGACAATGGTTGATCATGTCCATTTTGTTGACACGTGCTGTGCTTCTTAAATGGCATCTCTCTTGCAAGTAGTTGCAATGGCTTCCGAAGGTTGGAAGCTGCCCAGCATGCTTAAAGGCTGCTTCATGCCGTCTACTCAACTGGTGGGAGTTTTCTTGCTGAGAGTCCTCTACTAAAATTGTAAAGAATACATATATTGTAAAGGTATGGAGTGAATACCTATCACGTGTGACCGCTCGAAGTGTCAACGTGGAAACAAGTAAGCTGCATGCGACTCTTTTGCGTAGCGAGCGTGAATGCTCAAGGGGCCCCTCATGGGCCAAGTTCATGAACCAAGAGCGGCGAAGCGGCAGGTTGGAAACCGCACATGCCAAAAGCTCTGCTTTCCTTCTCTTTGGGTGGCACCCAAATCACACCGGTGGTTGTGGCCAAGAAGCTCGTCAGAACTCTCGCCACTTCATCATCTCCTGCTGGGCGCAGAAGGAGCAGTAGTCATACTGCCTCATCGTGCCAGCATCGGCCCCAGAAAGGCCTTGGCAGTCCGGGTAGATGTGGTACTTGCTGCCCGTTCTTGTAGTCCACACTGACCTTGGCACTGGGTTGCGATCAAGCTCGTACTTGATGGCTTCCAGTTTGTCATAGGCAGTCTGCCATTTGATTCTCACATCTTTGTATTTGCCGTCGAGCTCCCCGATGTCACCGGACAAGTAGTCCCGCATCAGGGTGAGGTCGTCCACTTCCTTCTCCAATTCGTTGTTCTCGCCCTCCAGCGCGTCGAGCTGGTCTTTGAGCTGGGCGTTGTAGGCATCTGAATCTCGTAGGTCTTGTTGAAGTCGTGTGATCTCCATCTTGAGGAGGCCAAACACATTCTTCTCGAGGGCAGTCTCCGCCTGGGTGCCACATTCTTTTGTGCTAGAGCTTGGACTCTCTGTCGTCATCGTCCAGGTCTCTGTCGTTGTCATTGTCCTCAATGTCGTCGGAGTCGTCGTTGTAGCCCTTCCCCACATGTGCCATCCCACCATGGTCATCAGTAGGATGAGGAGAGTGAGGGTCATCTCAGGAGAGAAGGCGAAGTCCAGGGCCATCTCGAAGCTAGGCTGCATGGCTTGCACCATCATCATCTGCGAGGTGAGGATCATGTAGGCCAGGCTGCGTCGATTCCCTGATCGACTGATCGCATGCTTGCGAGCATTGGCCTGCCGTTCAGCCAGAGTCTTCTTCTTGGCGGCCTGAAAGGTCATGTCTGACCGTAGGGAGATTTGGTGACTCCTCAAACGGTCAGCGAACAGCTGCCTCGCTGAGGATTTGGTGACTCCATCAGCTAGCTGGATCTCTGAGCTAACCCAGCGCAGCTTCGTGTTCATGGAAAGCATCTTTTGCTTTGTGACCATGACCTCGATCTTCGTCCGCTTGTCTCCTTGGAGACTGGGTGTCTCGGCTTTGAGGCTGTCGTAGAGTGCTTTGGCGTCTACCACCAGAGCTGAGGAGAGAGAGGGCTTCAGCTCGTTGACCTGTCGAAGCTGGAAGTCGTGCTTCAAGCATCCTTCCCAGAAGATGAGGAGGTATTCCAAGGCGTCCATGGCTGCTGAGCAAGCTTGACTCTCAGCATTCAACGAGGATCTGCTGACCCTTGGTAGTTTGAAGCTCCTCCAATCCAGGATGACATAGTCGTGGTCGGAGGTGTCATCGAGCACGGCCTTGTTGCAAAGAAGGACCAAGTAGCCTCCTTGACTCTCAGTGTTTCTCCTCACACCCCAGGCGGCATCACTCATCGCCACCATGCACAGGTTGTCCAGCGAACCTCCCAATGATCTGAAGATCAGACCAGCGTCGTTGTTGTTCTTGGCGAAGCGGAGGGTCTTGTTTGCTTGCTGGGCAACACCAACCGTGGATGTAGTGACTTCTCCACATAGAAGCGACACTGAGGCGCATAGGTGTGGTGAGGTCTGAGTTGCCGGCCATTGAAGTGCTCCGAGTAGCGCTCGAAGTGAGCTCTGCTCGCGAGAGTTGAGATCTCGCTCAAGATCGTTGTCGGCGCAGGTCATGGGCTTGATGCCTTTGAGGTAGTCTGCCTGCGTCATGACTGACTCGGTGGCCGTTCGTGCCAGCTGACAGCCGCAGAACTCTAGACTCTAGAGGTCGTTCTCCTTCCTTGGTCCAGTGCTTGAAGTTGAAGGAGGTCTTGAGGCTGTCGGTGAGCTGCTGGTACGTTGGCGATGAAGCTAGGCCACAGCCAAATAGATCATCAACGTGGATGCCAACCATAGCTGTCAAGGCTTTGTTCTCGTCGTAGAACATGTAGAGGCACTGATCCAGAGGATGGGATTGGAATCCCAACTGCAGTAAACGGCGTCTCGCCACTGCGAACCACTGCCTTGGAGCATCAGCCTGTCCGTAGAGGGGCTTGATCAAGCGCATGAGGGTGCCCGGAGGAACGCCGATCAACTCGCAAGCGTCCTTGGGGATCCGAGCCCACAAGATCCTCTGCTGAGGATCACCCTGAAGGAATGCCGTTGCAACGTCGGCAGTCCAGCGCTCCCAGGAAAGCACCTCGGAAATGGCGATGATCACCTGGCGAGAGCTCCTTGACAAAGTGGGTGATGAAGTGTCGAGTTGACCTTGCAGTAGGTCGGGATCAGCAAATCCCTGAAGGACCAGTCTTGCCTTGGCCTTGAGGCCACCTTTCCCATCAGCTGCCCACTTGAGAACGAAGCGAGCGCGCATGACCCTGTTGTGGTCAACAGACTGTGGATCGAGTTCGATCTCCCAGACTCCGTTCTCGAAGATGCTGGAGAGCTCATTCTTCTTGCCCTCCAAGAAGGCCAAACGGTCTTCCAGGGACATTTTCTTCTCGTTGAGGTCTGCGCTCTCCTTGACGTTCTTCTTCTTGGGGCTAGCGGCGCCGACTGCTTGCCAAATGTGTCCACGGCCTCTGAGCGTCTTGCAGCGGCTGAGCTTGTCGGAGAGGTCGCCAATGTAGTAGAGACCAGTCTTCTCTGCACCACTGACGGTGAGGGGGTACAAGGTCTTGCCTGTCCAAGCTTCGCTGAAGTGCTGCTGCTCATTGGAGTTGACATAGATAGTTCGTGAACCTTGCTGGAGCGTCAGGCCGGTGGTTGTTTGTAAGTAGGAGGGGTCAATGGGAAAGGTCTCCGGCTTGTAGGTTGACTTTCTTCCCCAAACATGGTTTCTGACCAAAAAGCCGTCCTCATAGCTCCACCAATCTGCGGTCTTGCCGAGGGTGAACTCGTGGGTCTTCTCATCATAGTGCCATCCGGACGGGAGAGGTGTGGACTTGCTGAAGTCAAAGCTGTTAAGGTTGAGGTCCACATCACCATCATCTGTCCGGGCTTTCTTACGAGTCCAGATCGTCTCTTGCTGATCGAAACGACGGCGTCGATCTTGGAAGGATTCATGAGCTGGTGGTGCATAGAGAGGATCAACGGTCATTGGACCTGATGAAGATGATGCCTCAGGTGCGGGCACATCGGCTGGTTCAGCCTTTGGAGAGTTCAGATCATCATCTTCAGGTACAGGAAGATCTGCTGGATCGGGACGTGGGTCTTGTTGATCCGCCCTGGCCATTGGAGTTTGGAGGTGAGAAGGTTCACCCATAGGCTCCTCAAAGTCATCATCATCCAGTTCAGGAAGTTCTGGATGTCGCTCATGAGGTTGACGTTCCTCCAACTGAGGTTCCAGCTGCAGTGGCTCTGACTGAGCATCCGGAGGTTCTGCTTCTGGAGGTTCTGCTGCTGGCAATGCCTCTGCTCTCGACTGAACTGCCTCCTGCATTGAGCGGTCGAAGGCTTGTTGAACTCCGTCAGGTAGAGCAGGCGAGGACATAGTCAACGAAGCGGGATGATGAGGATCTGGAAGCGAAGGCTCATAGTCACTGACCTCAGGGTCAACTTCATCTATCGATCGCTTATTGGCCTTTCGCAAATCCACGATGCGAACGGATCTCCTTTGTCTCAGGCCGTCCAGGGCTTGTTGAGCTCGTTGCACTGCTCCGATCTGTCCGCCATCATTGACCATCTTGCGAACGTGTTGAACTCCAGCACGAAGGAGCACAGTGCCGTGAGCGAGCCAGTAGACACTAACGGTGCCTGAGTCCGGGTTGCGTTCCACAGCAACCACTACCGCAGGTCCTCTCCAGCGGATGATGTGGTTCTTGTCGGGAGCATCACGCCAGTAGTAGCATCGTTCGCCTGGAAGAAGCTCCTCGTCTTTGCCAGTGAAGCGTCGGAGTAGAGCTCGGCGAAGTTTCACGTCAATCTCAGCCTTGCCACAAGCACTCTGTGCGGCGAACTTGAGGTTGAGCTTTCGATGCAATTTCTCCTGCTCGGTGAGTTGTAACTGCAATGGACCTGTGCGTTCATCAGTCAACAGTCCGGGAAGAGCAGGTTCTCGACCGAGAGCGAGCTGAGTGGGCGTGAAGCCATTGACAAAGCTGTTGCTGTTGAGAGCTGGAACCACCCAAGATAGTGCGCTGTGCACGCCATCCAAACCTGTGAGGTTGTTCTCCATCATGAAGATTGAAACTGCTTTGCGCACAATCTGGTGTCGTCGTTCCACTATGGATGTCCTGGTGTGAGCTTGACCAGGTGAGATGCGGATCTCGATGTCGTTGGACTCGCACCACTGCATTGT